CATCTCTTTCTTCATCGAGAGAAACATCTGTATTTTGTTCCAGTGTCACGTTACAAGTTGAGCTAATAATGTAAGAAATTTGTTAATTTCTAAAATTTTTAAATGTAGTGAAAATTATTTATGGTTATTCAATAAAAAATAAAAAATAAATAGTACATTTAAATTTTTTATTTATACCTACTATAAATATTTATTATTATACTTATGTTTATATATTACGATTTTCTATCCTCTAAAAATATTTATAAAAAATAAATTACATTTACCCACTTATAATCTACTATACAGCAGATCGGTACTTGTTGCCCTTTTTTATAACAAAAATAAAGGTATTGTTTTATTAAGAGATAATTTTAATACATAGTCTCTTACATTCAACTTCGTCCAAAAAGTGAGATGTGTAGCCAATGACCATTTTTTTTTGGTTGATACTGCCAATCCAGTCCCAGGTTTTCGTTTATCTCGCGAGTACGAATCCCTGATGTTTTCCCAACGTTTTTTAGTATCATCTGTTATAAATAAACCATTTTTAATTTTATTGTTTTTGGTCAGCTAACAGCTTAGTAATAATATTATTTTATACTAATTAGACTGAAGTAAAAGTACCATGGACCAATGAACAAAAGTCGACATTCATTGATCTTTGGCGATCACATCCTACACTAAGTAAATAAGAGTCCTGGTTATATAAATAAAAAGCAAAGAATAATTCTTCTGAATGAAATAGCTACAGAAATGAGCGAAAAAGCGACCATCAACTACAAGTAAGCCTTTTTGTATATTATTAGATGTAAAACAGTGTCATCAGTGGCGCAACTAGGATTTATTTTCAGGACGGGTTATACATAATATAGAATAATGAATATATATCTAGTATACATCTAAGCACTTCAAATTTTACTTTTAAAAACATTTTGGGAGAGGTCACAACCCCAAACCCCACCCCTGGTTGCGCCACTGAGTGTCATAATAAACCAGATGTATTAACCTAATGTATTTAATGAATATATTCTGTACTACCATATTATATGTTATCGGCAAATTATTCTTAAAATTTCATAAATTTTAAAACTTTAATAATTGTTTTATTATACAGTCAATATTAGTTAATAATAAGTAGGTATTTATTTTCAGTTGATGAGCTGAAAGAACTTATAAACTCCATGACCACAAATTTCAATGCATCTTATAAGCGATACAAGGAGAGCTGTAAAAGTGGAACTGGTTTAGTTGAAATCCCTAAAGCTGTACGGAATTTAGATTTTCTGAAAGATAATATTGCTATTCGACCTACGGTGTCAAACATATCAATACCTGATGATACAAATCCTGAACTTGAGGTATATAATATTAACAGGTATTACCTAACTTACATTCATTTTTAATAGGAATCAATTACAAATATGGAAGTTATATTTGTTGGTGAAAACATGGGTTACGAAGACAGCCAAGAGGTAATTTGATAAAAAATAAAACGAAAATTTATTTACCTAATACTCATTGTATTAAATTATATTGCAGAATGTTGATGTTGAATAAACCTTGGCTGAGCATCTAGAAAAAAATCCATCTTGAACCAATTATCAACTAAAACCGAGTCTCCTCAACATTTAAGAAAAAGAAAAAAAACGGATGAAGTAGATGAAGCATTTTATTCTGCACTGAAAGACATCTCTAGTAAAAAATCAAAATTTACTGTGTTTTGAGAGTATGTTGCTGTTGAGTTAGAAAAAATTAAAAGTTTGCTTTTACAAGTTAAAAATAAAATTAATAATATTTTGACAGAAGCTTTAATTGATGAAATTGATGCATAAATATTAATGTTTGTTTAATTGTTATAATGTTTAATATTAAAGTTTTAAAGACGAGGCTGAAAGTTTTAGTATTTATAAAATAAGTAATTTAAGATAAAAATGTTTACCAATATTAACTAACTATTGTTAATGGTAAGTCCTAAAGACAAGCCTAACATTTTTAGTATTTATGAAATAAGTAATTTAAAATAAAAATGTTTACCAATAGGAACTAACTATTGTTACTTGTTAGTCCTAAAGACAAAGCTGAAGCTTATAAAACTATGACTACATAATGAAAAAACGTATTATTCATAATATTTAAAAATGTTAATTTTTTAAAGTTATTTTATTTGTAAAACAATGTTAATTTTATAATAAAATATAAAAATTGTTATCACTGTATATTGTATTTTATGTTTTTAACTTATATATTGCCTCTTTGTATAGCTTTGTTTTGCCAATCCGCAGCTCCTTCGTTGTTGAAAAAACGCATGTACTCAGTTCTAATGTTATTAGAAATGACTGATGTACGGTAACCATTTTGCCGAGTTAATGAAGTAAATTTAAATTCCTATGAACGCCAAGAGCCTTCAATTATATTACCAATGTCATCAATCTTATCCACTTCATTATTGATGTATAACAAATTATTTTCGATCAAAAGAAAATTGTGTAAAATAACGCAACACTGTATTATTTTTTTTACTTTATTGACACAAAAGTTCATTGTATTAAACAAAATTCGAAACCTGTATAAATAGTTATAATATTATATTGAATTTTAGAACAATACATTTATAGAGAACATATATGTAAACAAAGATATTTTAATTGTAGTTACCGGTTAGCCAAAATTCCAAATGCATTTTCTATGACTCTTCGAGCTCGACTAACTCTATAATTGTAAATCAACTCTTCTTTTGTGAGTAGTCTATTTCAAAAAGGTTTCATAAGTCCAGGCCCGGCGCGAGGGTAAGGCGACTCAGGCGGTCGCCTAGGGCGCCATTTTCAGGGGGGTGCCGAAATTGTTTTTTACAATTTTGTACACTTTTGTCAGTAATTTTTTTTATTAAATATAAAATACCTACCTAAAACTTTGTACTGAAATATAGATAATTATTATTATGGTTATTCTGTTTAGCGTACTAACGTAAAATGTTTATCTTATAATGTATTATTGTTCTATAAATATAAAAATTCCTGAATATTTGTTATCGTCTAATCGGGATCGCGTCGAGCCGTTGTGACTCGTGACTACGTCGCGTCGCCTTCGTCCGTCACTTATCAGCTTATTCTGTGTATTTCAAAATACACGCTAGTGTATCTAATATCTAGTAGGTACCTATTATATATTATTATATTACTGATTGACGATGGTACTATACGTGTCCGTGACCATACTTTTATTGTCATTTTGTTATAGCTCTTTGAAACGAGTACGCCATCGCCACAACAGTCTAGTTGACGATTAAATTTCACTAGTTATTAGGTAAGTTGTAGCTTGTAAGGAACTTTTACAGACAATAGAAAGTAAATAATATATATTTTAATTTATTATTTATTAATACGTTTGCTGCTGCATCTGTCGGAATACTATATTAATTTTATGTTTAATATACCTATATGATATTTGATAAGAATTAATTAATAATATTATTCAAATTATTACAATTAATTTAGGAAACGCTTTAGTTAGAATGGCACCGAAAAAGAAATTATCTGGAGCAGAAAACCTAAAAAAAAGATTAAGAGGGAATTAGAATTTAAAAAAGGTGCTAATGCTTTATCTAAGTTCTTACAAAAAAATAAAGAATCAATTAACGATAATAGCTATTCTTCAGAAGAATTGTTACCTTCTACAAGTTCAGAACAAAATATCACGTCATCTTTATTAGCTACTACAAGTTCTGAACAACATACAATTAAGCATTTAGAAAATATGGATATTTCTATTGAATTTCAAAGTACTAAATTGGTTAGTAACACTGAATCATCTGAAATTCTGAACCAAGTATAAGTATAAGTATTAACTCTGATCCTACTACTTGGCCCTCATTTTTAACATCAAAACAAATTGACTATATAGTAGTAACCGGTTCCGAAATATTTACAGAATTTTCGAGTATTCAACTAGATCATGAAAAAATACATTTTTCTGAGATTCATTTTTATCGATATCTTTCTGATGGAGAAAAATTAGTTAGGCGTTGGTTAATTTACTCAAAATCAACGGGGAAAATATTTTGTTTCTGTTGTAAATTATTTGATAGAACTCCGAAGTCAAATTTGGCGATTTGTGGGTTTTCTGATTGGCATAACGGATCTGCTGCACTTACTGTACACGAAAAAGCGCCTAATCATTTTAAGGCTTATGGTACATGGATAGAAATAGAAAAACGGTTAAAACTAAATAAAACAATAGATGCAGAGCACCAGCGAATTACGAACATGGAAACTGATTATTGGGTAAAAGTTTTGGACCGTTTGTTATCAGTAACTTTATATTTATCTAAGAATAATCTAGCGTTTCGAGGAAGTTTAGATAAATTTTATACTCAAAGTAATGGAAATTTTTTAAGTTTAGTTGAGCTTTTGGGTAAATATGACGATGTAACTAAAGAATTATTACTTAAAACACTGTCTCGTGAAAAAACCGTACATTATTGCAGTCATTCTATTCAAAATGAATTAATAGATTAATTAATTAATTAATCTCATGGCCAATAAAGTTTTAGAAACTATAATAGATAGATTACGTGCAGCAAAATATTATTCTGTAATTCTTGACTGTACACCAGATGTGAGTAATCAATAACAACTATCCTTTACACTAAGATTTGTTAATATAGAAAAAAAAAAATGAAGTTAAAGAACATTTCATTGGGATTAAAACGGTAGAAAGCTCTACAGGTTTAAGTTTAACAGATCTTCTTCTAAAAACTCTTGCAGAAAAGAATATTCCATTTCAAGATTGTCGTGGGCAGGGATATGATAATGGTGCTAACATGAAAGGGCAAAAAAAAGGAGTTCAAGCGAGAGTTTTATCAATGAATCCTCGTGCCACCTTTGCTCCATGCAATTGCCATTCTTTAAATTTAGTTGTATCAGATGCTGCATCTTGTTCTATAAATTCAATTACAGTTTTCGGCGTACTCCAAAGAATTTATGTTTTGTTTTCATCATCGGTAAATCGATTTTAAAATTTTAACCGACAATATAAAAATATTTAGCATCGCAAACACCTAAAAGAACAAAACTATCGGTTCCTTCATAATTATGATAAAATGCACCATCTGCTCGTCTTGGTCTAAATGTAATATGTTTCCCATCCATCGCTCCTAAGCAGTTTGGAAACTGCCACATATCATACAAATCTGCTGCTATCTTCACCCATTTTTCTTGGGTATCTGGAATCTGTTGTAAATGAGTTTTTTTTTTAAATGTTTAAAATACAAATTAAAATTAATTTTTATACTATCTTTTAACAAATAATGAATAGTAAATCGAAAGCTTAACAATGAGCTTTAACTTAATAGAAATAAAATCAATTCATAAAAAATTTCAATTTAACTTTTCTTTGATAATTATTAAAGAATACTTAATACTTACCTTTAAATAATCTTTTATTAAACAAGATATAATTGCATTTACAGTTTCCATAACAATGCCACCAATTGTATTTTTTGCTATTCTAGTAGAATAGGAGAGACTTACACGACTTTCTCCAGTAGCCAAGTATCGTAGTGTAAGTAATAATCTAAATAAAAAAAGTGGTTTTTAGCTAATACATAATATTATACAGTTGACTAATTATATATACCAATATTTACCTTTTTTTAGCACTTATTGATTGCCTCATAACAGTAATTTGCTTAGCAATCCAGCTTAGCAATCCAACTTTCTCAAATAGTTTGTTAAATACAGTTTGATTCATTCTTAAAAAGTTAGTGTAGCTTTTTTCATCTTCAGTTAAAAGTTCGTTCTCGAGCATATTCAAAGTACCAACACAGCTATAGGTATCTCTCCTGCTTAATGATTCTCTACACCATATGGTAAGCCTGAAATTTCAACAAATTACTTGATATAAGTCATAAATTATAATATATATACCTAAATAAATAATTAAATGATGGTTCATTAATACCTACGTAGCTACGTACCTTATAAATTTCTTTTTGTACAATTTCCGAAGCAGCCTTAATTTATAAAGCTGTATTAATTTTCACGATCGTAGCTCATATCAAATATTATGTTTTAGTACTTAAAATTTAATAAAATAATTAAAGTTTTTCAAAGTTGAAAGTACCTACTTAGAACAGTTAGTTCATACAAAAGATAAAACTTCAACAGCGTAAGGATAATGATAATGATAATTCTATGATATACACTACACTATACTCTATGTGCTATATAACAGGAATTTCAATTTTCGCAGCTTCAACAGCTGTTAAAATTGAAAAATCACTAACGAGTTTAAACTAGTAATTTTGATATAATATTTGATGGTGTGAACCATTTTTCAAACAAATATTTGAAGTTTGACGTACATCAAATATTTGACAAATAATTTGATTGCGTGAACGGGGCTATATTGAGATAGACTTAATCCCCTGATGGTCAAATACGGAAATGATATTGTTTAAAAAAAAAAAAAGACATGTGTAATAAGGCCAGATAGTGATAAGACTTTTAGAGGTTAAGCAATTCAATAAGAAATAATGCGATTTATATAATATAAAAGTATTGTACAAGAAACTGTAATATTAAATATAAAAGCATGAACATACAAAAATTATAATTTATAATAAAGAAACATCGAACCTAAACAAATAAATACAATTAATTAAAGGGTGAAAATTTAATACAAGGCTCCTGATATATTGTTACATAGAAATTGAAAAATATTAAAAATACATATGCACACATTTTTTTTTATAAGCATTTAAAGTTCGAATTTTGACAAAATTTAATAATTATTTTGCAGTTAAAAATGTATAAAATTTTCAACATTTATAGCTAAGGAATGAAAATTTAAAACAAAGTTTCAGGTAAATAGGTTATATATAAATTATTACTCTATTCACAATAATATAATCAAATATACTTAGTAAAAAATGTAAAATCATAGGCTGACTGACAGTTTTCACTCAGAATTGTTTTTCTTATACAATGATTAAATTATATCATTGAATTTAAAGTTAACACCATCTATTAAAGTGACCCATTTTTAACCTACTGTATATCATTTCACGTAATTTAAACAAGAGATCCTTCTGTACAGCACCTTGAATTATATTTCTAAAACTGTCAATGTATATATTTCACTGAAGAAAATATTCTAAAAAGAGCACTAGAGCCACCAAAAACGACACTAACTGAATTTTTCACATTGTGTCAAAAATCTGATGTTTTCGGCCAATTTTCAAAAACATTATTATATACCGATGTTCCACTCTACTTTTCATGGAACAAATCAGGTAAAAAATGGGATCCACGTAAACAAGGAGCTAGAACCATGTCCTTCAATCGCGGGCATATTCAAAGCCAAGGCACTGGGAAGACTTTACACAGTACATCCAAAACAACGTAAATGTTTCTTTTTACGTTTGTTGTTGGTGAATGTTCCCGGACCAACGTCTTTCGAATTTTTGCGAACAGTTAATGGTCGAGTGTTCAATACTTATCAAGATGCGAGTCATGAGTTGAAATTACTGAAAGACGACAATCACTGGGACCTGACACTTGCTGATGCAGCGTTGACATCAACGCCAAATAGTATCCTTTTCCCACAGAGTTGATGATTCGGCTGGGTCAAAATAATTGCAAACAGTTGTCGAATACTATTTGGCGTTGATGTCAACGCTGCATCAGCAAGTGTCAGGTCCCAGTGATTGTCGTCATTCAGCAATTTCAACTCATGACACGCATCTTGATAAGTATTGAACACTCGACCATTAACTGTTCGCAAAAATTCGAAAGACGTTGGTCCGGGAACATTCACCGGATCGCGGTGAATTGGTCGTGAATATAACTGGTCGCTAGGATAATTGATCGTCAAACGAACAATTTTAGTTTTTTAATTATTTTATTTTAGTCATTGTTTTATTATACTCATTACATAGTTAATATTTAATATATATTAAATACACATCCGAGTTTTATGTTTATTATTTTAGAAGATTCAAATACTCTTATTTATTTTTAAATAACGTACAGTAAATCCAATTTACAATGGGAATTAACAAATATAATAATAGACTAAGATATAATAATCTTAAATATTATTATATGATATACACACGAGATAATTGAACTAGCGTGGCAATAACTTAGATAAGCTTATACGATCGTTATCGATTTATCGTCAACTATATTCCGATGGTCGTAATAATTTGTCATTATATACTTGCATTTGTTAGTCCATGCTAGTAGGTACGTTATTGTGTGTGTTTACTGTTTTTTTATTTTATAATAATGGAGTTCATAAAGAGTGAAAAAGGCAAAGATAAATTAATTTATAACGGTTATATGTATACTTTTGAAAAATTTGGAACCGAAGAAAAGTCAATATGGAAATGTGACCAATATAAAAAAAATGAAATGTAAAGGTCGTATTCATTCTCTTAATAATGAAATACTTAAAGAAATACAACACAATCATGTACACGATTGTGGAAATATTGAAGCTGCCATAGCCGTTAATTTTATCAAAAATATGGCTACTCAAAATGTGGATTTGAGTACTCGCGCTGTAATTAGCTTCGACATCTGTAAGTTAATATTAAATAAATCCTTCTCAGTATCTATTGTAATTTTAACATAAGATTTTTTTTTATAAGTATTTAAAGTTCAAATTTAAAATGCAAAAAATGCAATATAAAATGCACTTAAAATGGTATAAAGTGTGTATTTTTGTGTAGCGATAATAATAAATGTGTATCTATAACTATAATATAAAATACTATAAAATATTTAAAATATTAATACCTATAAAATACTTTAAAATATATCTATATAATTAAATTAAAAATGTATGTTTTTTTTTAAAAATTGGATAGTTGACAAGTGCTGCTGCAGTGCAAATACCATCATTGTCGGTCTTAAAGAGAACAGTACGGCGTATTCGACAAAAAGAACAAGCTGCTCCACCTAACCCAAAAACTTTATTAGAATTGATCATACCAGACGATTATAGAACAACATTTGATGGAAAACCTTTTTTTATTGTTCGACAGTGGTCCTATAGAAAATATAATTTTAATTTTCTCCACCCAAAAAAACCTACAACTTCTACAAAAATGTGAACACTGGTTTTCTGATGGCACTTTTTCAACGTCACCAAATATATTTTACCAAATTTACACTGTTCACGGAATTCAATTTAATAATGTTTTCCCATCAATATTTGCATTGCTACCAAATAAAACGGAAAATACATTGAACGAATTATTAAATCCAAAATCACTTATGGTTGATTTTGGAAAAGCTGCGATTAATGCGATTCAAAGTGTTTTTACCAACACATCAGTTTGTGGGTGCTTTTTTCATCTATCGCAAAGCATTTGGAGACGCTTGAAAAATTTAGGATTCCAAAAAAGGTACATGGAAGACTCGGAATTTGCTTTGCAAATTAGAATGATGGCAGCACTTAGTTTTGTACCAGAAGAGGATGTAGAAAATGCTTGGAATGAACTACTGGAATTTTATTCACTGAACGAAGAAATAATATACTAGCTGGTACAACACCATCCCTGACGCACTAGTTGTAAAGTCCGACCAGCATTGTAGGACGTAGTTGGTGGACGACTCTTAGTATCCGTCCCGTTATACAGTCCAGGCCAGGAGCCATGGATTTCCGCTGGGCTCTGTGGACCGCCTTGTCCACCTCCTCGACTGTGAAGGGAGGAAATTCCGCTTCCGCCGGCAGCATTTGAGCGTCTGCAGGAAGGCGCGATGGGAACAGTGTGTCGGTTATCTTCAACACGTCTTCGTGATCCATGTTTGCGGTCGCGGAAGGTACTTGGAGCTTGCGGGTGACCAGCTTATAGGGTTTGCCCCAAGGGTCCACGTCGATGGTTTCCAGCATTTCCATCCAACATCATTCCTTGCTGGCGGCGATGGCTGTTTTTAGACACTTTCTGGCTTCCTTGTAGCAGATGTTTGCGACTGCCACAGCTTCTTCTTCAGGTGTCGAGTCTTGTCCGCGATTGCGCCTGAGGTGAAGTTTGGCAACACATCTCGTTTTGGCCCTTTTTGCCGTGACACATGCCTTTCGTTTTGCTGCAATTTGGGCATTCCACCAGTAGACCGGTGGCTTGCCCGGAGGGCTGGATGAAATGCGCTGGAGAGCAAAATCGCAAGCCGTGGTAATGGATTCGTGGACTGCCCGTGCTCGCTGGTGAGCGTTGGCTGACGCTGCAAAAGTGTTATCACTGTCAGGATGAGAACGACACGGCAGAGCACACGCTCTTTGAATGTCCTGCGTGGGATGAAGAAAGGAGGGTGATGGCAAGCGTGTCTAATCTGGATGTGGCGCTGAATCCAGGTAACATCGTACAGTTTATGCTGTCTGGTCCGCAAATGTGGGAAGCTTTCGCAACGTTTGCGCGAAGAGTCCTCTCCGTAAAGGAAGTAGCAGAACGCGAGAGAGAAATGCTGGGAAGCTCCCGTGGCTGAAGATAAATTTAACCTAGTTAAGCAAACTTATTGTATTGTATTATAGGCCAACCGGCCAAAAATAGGAGGGGTAGAGCCCTCCATTTTTATTGTATTGTGCTGATTGTAACAACGTAAGCAGGGGGATTGTCCCTGCAAGCGTTGAAATTGTTTTGTATTGTTTATCAATAAATGATGGGGGCCAGGAGGAAGTATTACTAACGTAGTTCCCTCCTGGTCCTCGGTTTAAAAAAAAAAAAAAAAAGGTTAGGTAAGGTTAGGTTAGGTTCCCCCCCGACGGGACCCACCTTGTCGTGGTGGGGGGGCTCACGGGCCATTTGCTTGGTCCGTGCTAAGCGGTTCCACCCACAGCGCCGGTCCTGACCTTTACTGGTCGGCACCAGCAGGACTAGTCCACCTGCCAGCATTGGCAAACGGACACAGAAGGAAACTGTAAACCAGAGCCAGCCCAGACCCAACACGTTGGGGCTGGCAGGACCGGTCCACCTGCTACCTACAGCAAACGGACCCAGATGGTAACTGTAAATCCCCCAGAAGGCAACTGTAAATTCCCCCCCTGGCGGTAGGGTTAAAACGCTGGTTAGAATTCACCACAAAAATCACACATGGATCAAAATACCGGAAATATACCCCTGACCAAGGGCCCCACGGATTCAGGGGGGGGCCCGTCCATAACTGGAAACAAGACTGGAAAACTGGAAAACGGACACGAGGATAAAGAAGGACACGGATGCACCAAAGGAACTGCTGTGACGTACGTGGGGGCTGAAGCGTCGCCCGTCGTGAGGGTCAAGCTATTGGATAAAAGCCAACCCACCTGCTTTAGCTGACAGCAGAAAGGCCATCTTGCTGCTGAATGTCGTAATGAGCCGAAGGCGCGACGCTACCACAGGTGCCAAGGTGAAGATCACCTTGCTAGTGATTGCCAGAAGGGCAAGAAGCAGCCTGCAAAGGATAAGGAGTCTCAGTCCCCAGCGCCGAACCACGGGGAGGGGAAGCCGTCGGATGAACCGCCGGTTGTGAATTCAATTATTCCCAAATGATGGAGCTAAGCTTCATCCAAAGCAACCTCAAACACTGTAGTGCTGCTCAAGACCTGATAGCACAATACATGGTTGAGGAAAAGATCGACGTCGCGCTCATAAGCGACCCCTACAGAGCAGATGTCCACTCAACATCCTGGCTCACCAGCGTAGGAACAAGCAGGGCTGCAATCTACATCGCGAACAACGGAGTGACAATTGCTAACGTGATACGCGATCCAGAATTTATCTCTGCTCGCCTCAACGGCGTGCAGGTATACTGCTGTTACGCCTCACCCAACCAGCCACTCGAAGACTTCGGCGATCTGCTCCAGCGGCTCGGGGACAGTATCAGATCCACCCAGCGAGGAGTTCCCGTATTAGTCACCGGGGACCTCAACGCCAGATCCGCGGCGTGGGGCGACTGGGTCGAAAACCGGAGAGGCCACGAACTAAGTTCGCTAGTCGAGTCCCTAAACCTCGTTACCTTGAATGAAGGCTCTTCCCCCCACTTTCGCCAGAGGCGCAGGATCAATCGTAGACGTTTCGTTCGCATCGGAGTCCCTGGCAAGCCGAATAACCAACTGGAGGGTGCTGGAGTCGGTTTTCAATTTTAGCGACCACCATTACATCCGCTACTCCGTAGCGCGCAACAGGGCAAGCCTCTCTCCTGCTGCCTCCAATACCTTCTACGGCTGGGACACCTCTGACGGAATAGACAGCGACTCATTCCACTGTGGCCTGCTGCTTGCTGAGTGGCTTGACCAAGGCATCGTCCAGGACGGACTCGACGCCGATTCGGAAGCCGTAACTTTGCGCTCAAGAGTAACGGCCGCATGCAACTACGCCCTACCTCCACGACGAGCTCCAAGATCAGGGAAGCCTCCCGTGCACTGGTGGAACGGGGAAATAAATTCGCTCCGCGCGGAGTGCGTCAGGGCAAAACGTTGCAAGGTCAGAATGGTGGCCCGCATTGCCCGTCTTTCGGCTGATTTCGACAACGTCCGAGCAGAATCAGAGCTCACCAGGACCAATGACAAGTTCCATGAAGCCAAGAGGCAGCTCAAAATAGCTATCCTTCAGAGCAAAAAAAATGTTGGAAGGAGCTCATCTCCGCTGTAGACGGTGACCCATTCGGGAAACCTTACAAGCTGGTAATGAGGAAGCTGAGGGGACCACCCGCGATAGCCTCTATGGAAATGCCGACACTGCAAAATGTCATCAGCACTCTGTTTCCAGCAAACCAGATCAGCAGTTATAGGTACCTGCCCGCCTCCGGACCACCAGTTCCATTCACCGCGGACGAGGTTAATGCGGCAGTTGATAGAGCACGCAGCAAAAACAAGGCACCCGGCCCTGACTGTATTAACAGCCAAATCCTCGCGGCAGTCCACAAAGCCGATCAGTGCACCCTGAGAGACCTCTTCAACAAATGCCTCCACCAAGGAATTTTCAAGTCGGAGTGGAAGTTTTCCCGAGTTGTTCTCCTGAGAAAAGGCATTAAACCAGAGGGTGTCCCGTCATCTTATCGCCCGCTGTGCCTCCTCAACGACGTTGGGAAAATGCTGGAGTTCCTCCTCACTCGAAGACTGGAAGACCACATCACCTCGAGGGGCAATTTGTCGCCCAACCAGTACGGCTTCCGGAAGAACATGTCCACTGATGACGCGGTGCTGAAACTACATAATACCATCGTTAACGAGGCTAACGATGGAAAATTCTGCCTTGCGATTAGCCTAGACATCAAAAACGCATTTAACACCATCAAATGGCCTGATATAATGGCAGCATTGGAGAGCTGGGACGTCCCTTCCTTCCTGTACCGCATGTTCCAGTCATACTTCTGCGGCAGGTTTGGAACGGTTTCCACCGGCAGTGGAAGAATGGAGGTCGAGATCTCAGGAGGAGTGCCACAGGGATCCGTCGTTGGTCCCCTTCTCTGGAACACAACGTTCGACTCTGTCCTGCGAGGGCCACTACCACATGGAGCGAAGTTACTCGGTTTCGCAGATGACACCTTGTTGGTGGTCTCATCCAAGACCGTTGAAGAGTTGGAAGCACTCGCGAACAATGCGCTACGGCTTGTAGAGGATCGCATCTCAAACCTTAGCCTCCAGATCGCGGCAGATACAACAGAGGCTGTTCTCTTCACCCAGAAGTACAAACACGGGACACCAAACATCGAGGTAGGCGGGAAGACAATACCGTTGACGAAGAAGATGACATACCTCGGAATGATCATAGACAGTTCCCTCTTCTTCAAAGAACACATGCAGTCAGCATCGGCCAAGGCGGAAATGATCTCCACACAGTTAGCAAGGATCATGCCAAACGTCGGCGGTCCGCGGGAGGATAGGCGCCGTTTACTGTCGTCGGTCGTTCACTCCGTGTTGCTCTACGGCGCACCGTCCTGGGCTCATACCCTTGACCTCATTCCTGGTAATGTGAAGCTGTTGAACAAAACCCAACGGAAGATACTTCTCCGATGCACCTGTGCCTATAGAACGGTCTCAGGGGTAGCGGCGAATGTGCTGGCGTCAACCCCGCCTGCCGACCTGTTGGCAAGAGAACGCGAAACCGAGTTCCTATAGAGGCGAGGGGGGCCCAATGCCCTAACCAAAGAAGAGCTGAGGAAAGATACTCTCTCCAAATGGCAGGCGAGATGGGATTCCGTTGATGCGGATGACCACGGTAGCTGGACGAGGAGACTCATTCCCGACGTGGCTATATGGTGTTCAAGAGGATTTGGCCAGGTGGACTTCCATCTGACCCAATTCCTCTCCGGTCATGGTTGCTTCGGGTATTACCTCTGCCGTTTCAAGAAAGTCGAACAACCTCATTGTGTCGACTGCAATGACCCATTGGATAATGCTGAGCACGCAATATTCAAGTGTGATAGGTGGTGGCGGTTAAGGATTGAGCTAGAAGCTGAACTGTCAGTGGAGTTTACTGCAGAAACCGCAACCAATACATGCTGAAGTCAAGGAGACACTGGGAAGCAGTCGCCAAATTCGTCCACCATATTCTGTTCACCAGAGAGGAGGAGGAGCGTGAGAGACAGCGAGGACAAGTAGCTGGAAATTAACTAGTTAAGAATTTTAAATTTGTGGGCCGAAAGCCAATGTTTATGGGAGGGTTAGAGGCCCTCCATGTATGTATAATTATTTGTAACTGTTGATTGCATTTAATAAACGATGTAGGGGAGCTGGCGAATTACCCCACCAGGTATTTCCGGCCCCCTGCGATAACGTATAAAAAAAAAAAAACAAAAGGTTAGGTTAGGTTAGGTTGGCTGTCGTGATGAACGGACGTCCCTCTGCGTCGCTCCCGGGCAAATATCGTTTTTCTCCGGGAATTTCAAGCCGTTTTTTGCGCAGTGTGTGTAAATCGACGCGTTACGCCGTCCTGCGTCAACGAAGCTAAACCGCGCGGAAATCGGTTAAGTTTTCGCGAAGTTATCGAGTTTTCCCAGCTTACCGCGTGCATTGTGCTACTGTGCTACGCATAACCGGGTTTTTGTTTTAAAAAGTGCGCGATCGGGCCGGTGTCGTTGTCGAGTCGGCCTGAATAAGACCCGCCGCACCCTTACGAATGGATTGGTGTATCGCGCGTCGATTTTGGACCCCCTGGTGCCGGGAAAACCCGCTTCCCGTCCAACAGCGTTCGTGGCCAATTTACGGAAGAACGGCAAGCCGGACGATCGCGCGCGGTGGCTCCACACGTCCGGCTCGTTAAGACGAATCCGTGGATATCGGAACTTCCTGGGTCCGACGCATAACCGGTGAGTTATTACCATTTAAGTGCACTCCCAATACCACTACACGGCCGCCCAAAGCCGCCGCGTGGAAAACGGGAATTCCGCCGTAACAGCTGTTTCTCGCTTCGGGGGAAGAACTGCTACCAAGATACCGCGTCGGGGAACAACTGCTCCCTTGATAAGGCGACGGGGACCAGCCGACGGCGTGTGGCCAAGTGTCGGCGGCCAATTGACGGCCTTAACAGTCGTTTGGCGGCAAATTTAAATTTTGCCTCCAAAATCAGTTTTTCGGGGATAACTCGGTGGGGATTGATTTTAGAGCTTCGGGAGAAAAATTTTGCCCTCCCAAAGCCCCCCGTCCTACCAGGACGATCCCCGATAAGTTCCCGCAGGTTTGTACCCCCTACACCCTCCGGTGGAGGAGTTACGGGAAAGGATAGGGACAGTTAGGTTAATAATATTATAATTCTCGAGACGAACGGTCCCCCCCTTCCGCGTAGGTACCTCCCGATACCTTCGGATTTGGGAGATAGTCTGCGTGGCCGAGGTTAGGTTAGGTTAGGACCTTTTCCTGTGTTTGCGTGGGACCAAATATGGAGGACAACACACAGAACCCAGATGTACCAGCTGGCCAATTTTTGCAAAACAGCGGAACACTCACCGGTCAAAGGGTGAATACCTCAGAGGTGAAGAACAAGGAAATAGGAAATGCTGAAGAAATTAAGACTGCAGGGAATCTGGTGACGAAGTTGTTGGCCTCGTCAAGAGGGAGATAAAAACCCTCATAGTCCAGCTATCGACCAACGTCAAAGAGCTGATACAGTGGGGAATTCTCACGGGTAAAGTGAACGTCAGTACCTCGAGTAGAGGAAACCAAACTGACCTTGGACCCTCTGTACTTCCCCCCACAAACGAGGTGCCTCCTGAGTCAAAGGCGACAGGAGTACCGTCAGGTCCCCAACCAGGGTCGACCCCTGCAGGCAAGATCCCCTCTCCGGATCGCACACGCTTTGAGCTCCTTGCTGCCAGCGAGGGACTCCGACAACAGCTGAAAACTCAGGGGGAAGCTGTTGGGAAGCTGACAGAGCAAGTAGAGAGGTTACAGAACCAAAATCTACAACAGGAACCGCGGAAGCAGCAGCAACAACGGGAGCCACTAAACCCGGGACTTACCCAAGAGAAGCCTAAACAGCAGCCGAAGCAGCAGTCGAAACAGAAGCCAAATCAGCAGCAGACGGAACTTCAGGTGCAGGGAGCCTTGAAGAAGGACATACATCAGCACCAGGGTCACCAGCAGCTAGGCTCAGCTACAAACAATTCGGAATCTGAGACGGGGGAGTGGAAAGAAGTCACCAAACGCCGGGGGACCAAAAATCCCTCTAAGGCAAAACAGAACACAACCACAAAAAAGAAGCCCGACGTGGAGGCACTGGTCCGGAGACGAGCTCCAAGGGCGGAAGCGGTGACAATTGCAGACCCCGCCGACGGGGAAACATACGCCAGTGTGATGAGGCTCGCAACCAGCTGCATCGATCTACAAGTACACGGTATCGAAATCGGGAGAGTACGGCGCACAAAAGCAGGAGCTATCCTCATGGAGGTCAGCGGGAAAGAGAAGGCAGATAAGCTATCCACCCTAATTTGCGATACTCTAGGCCCAAGAGCGAAAGTTAGTAGACCCAGGAGAACGACCCCAGTGCTGGTCATCAACATCCCCGAATGGCTGGACGATGACAAGGTCAAATGCACAATTGTGGAAGCAGACCCCGGCCTGGATAGTTCATGCATCAGCCTAAGAGAGAATGCCGGAGGAGGCAAGGTCGCTAAGCTCACCGTAGATATGGATACAGCGCTTAGACTATCCGCACTTAAGAGCATTAGAATAGGATGGAACGCGTGCCGCATCAAGCTCTTGGAGACCAAGTCACCAATCTGCTACAGATGCCAGGCGAACGGTCACATCGCGGCAGAATGTCGAGCCACAGATGCCTCGCCAAAAAAGTGTTACCGATGCAACGAAATAGAACACCTCGCGGCAACGTGCCAGGCAGCCAGATCTCAGTATAAGAAGAGCGGGGCATCGGAAACCGCAGACAAAGGGGTAAATGATTAAGTTCATTCAAGTGAACCTGAACCACTGCAAAGTGGCTCAGGATCTGCTCAGGCAGTATGCAGCCGAGCAGCGTGTAGAGGTTGTACTTATTACCGACCCCTACTCTATTCCCGAACGATCAACTTCTTGGTTTGCCAGTTCCGGAACCCAGAGGGCGGCCATCTGGCTCGCAGGCAAGAATGTCACGGCTACCAAAGTCTGTAGGGACTCAGAATTCGTGTCCGTCCGCCTAAATGGAGTCCAAACATTTAGTTGTTATGCGTCACCCAATAAGACGAGGGTCGAATTCGAGGATCTCTTGAGAAGGTTGGAAGATAAAGTCAGAGCTGTTGAGCCGGGGGTTCCTGTTTTGATCACAGGGGACTTTAATGCACGGTCAGCGACATGGGGTGACTGGTGCCGCGACACTCGAGGAGACGACCTGAGCACACAATTCGACTCTCTTGGCCTCCAGGTGCTAAACGAGGGATCTAAACCAACCTTTGTGGGCATAGGAAGAGGTTCTATCGTCGATCTCACCGTGGTTTCGGAGTCCATTGTAAGCCGAACCTCAGGATGGCGCGTGTGCGACGAGATAGAAAGCATGTCAGACCACCAATATATCACGTTCGAACTGGAGACTGGCCGAAACAGAACGCCCCCAAACACACATGATTCTAGGGGCTGGAAAACAGATGGTGACATCAGCGGCCAAGATATCGAAGTTGGACTCCTTCTGGCGGAATGGACGGGGGACCGAGCTCTGTTTGCAGCGTCAGCCAACGCTCACCAGCGAGCACGGGCAGTCCACGAATCCATCACCACGGCTTGCGATTTTGCTCTCCAGCGCGTTTCATCCAGCCCTCCAGGCAAGCCACCGGTCCACTGGTGGAATGCCCAAATTGCAGCAAAACGAAAGGCATGTGTCGCGGCAAAAAGGGCCAAAACGAGATGTGTTGCCAAACTTCACCTCAGGCGCAATCGCGGACAAGACTCGACACCTGAAGAAGAAGCTGTGGCAGTCGCAAACATCTGCTACAAGGAAGCCAGAAAGTGTCTAAAAACAGCCATCGCCGCCAGCAAGGAATGATGTTGGATGGAAATGCTGGAAACCATCGACGTGGACCCTTGGGGCAAACCCTATAAGCTGGTCACCCGCAAGCTCCAAGGACCTTCAGCAACCGCAAACATGGACCACGAAGACGTATTGAGGATAACCGACACACTGTTCCCATCGCGCCTTCCTGCAGACGCTCAAATGCTGCCGGCGGAATTGGAATTTCCTCCCTTCACAGTCGAGGAGGTGGACAAGGCGGTCCACAGAGCCCAGCGGAAATCCACGGCTCCTGGCCTGGACTGTATAACTGGACGGATACTAAGAGTCGTCCACCAACTGCGTCCTACAATGCTGATCGGACCTAACCTAACCAGTGCGTCAGGGATGGTGTTGTACCAGCTAGCTGGAAAAGAGGGATAGTGGTGCTCTTGTGGAAGGCGGATAAGCCGGAGGGTGAGCCTTCGTCTTATAGGCCGATATGCCTCCTTAGCGTTGTTGGGAAGGTCTTTGAGAAGATGCTAGTGGCAAGATTGGAGGAGCATATTGAATCCGGGGGTGGCCTGTCACCCAACCAATACGGCTTCAGGAAATCATTATCTACTGATGACGCAGTCCGAAAACTACAGCAGAAGATCCTGGCAACTATCAACTTCCCGTCTAGCAAGTTCTGCGTTGCGATAAGCCTAGATATTAGGAATGCATTCAACACCATAGGATGGGTGGAGGTGATGTCGGCACTAAACGCCCTGGATGTGCCTATGTACATCCTGCGAATATTCCAGGACTACTTCCGGGGAAGGACAGCCGAAACTCAAGCCGGAAACGACCGAGTAGAGGTGCGCGTATCGTGTGGTGTGCCTCAAGGGTCAGTGGTGGGTCCCCTCTTGTGGAACATAGCCTATGACAGGGTGCTACGGCTACAATTACCGGTGGACGCTGAACTACTGGGCTTCGCCGATGACACCATGGTATTGTATCGGGCAGATCCATTGCGGAACTGGAAACGAACACCAACGAGACGCTGGGACTCGTCTCTGAAGAGATAAGCAGGCTTGGGCTGTCGTTGGCAGTGAACAAGACAGAGGCGGTGTTGTTCACAAACAAGTACAAATATGCAAATCCCAAGATAACTCTAAACGGACAGACGTTGGAGCTGAAGCAGCAGTTGAAGTACTTGGGTATGGTGATCGAGAAGAGGTTGCTGTTCAAGGCGCATAAACGTGATGCTTCCGCGAAGGCAGAGAAGACAGCAAACCAGTTAGGACGCCTAATGCCCAACATTGGCGGCCCGAAACAGCTGAGAAGGAAGCTGTACGTAGCAGTGACGCAGTCTGTGCTGTTGTATGGCGCCCCTTCCTGGGCTCACACACTAGAGTGTGTGACAGGCAACGTAGCGGAAATAAACCGGGTCCAGCGCAAGGTGCTTCTCAGAAGTATATGCGCCTACCGTACAGTGTCCGGAACCGCCGCGAACATCTTGTCCGGCGTGCCCCCAGCTGACCTTCTGGAAATTGAGCGCAAAGTGGTGTTTGACGAGAAGAGGTCCGGCCGCACCACAGAGGTGTCTCCTCGGGTGAAGACGATGGAAGCGTGGCGCATGCGCATAGAGCAGTCGGAAACTGGCAGATGGACCAAGCTCCTGATAACCGACATCGAAGCATGGTGTAGCAGGCGGCACGGATGTCTAGACTTCCATGTCACCCAGTTACTATCTGGGCACGGCTGCCTCGGGCAGTATCTGCATAAGATTGACAAAGAAGAGTCAAGCAAATGTCATCACTGTCAGGATGAGAACGACACGGCAGAGCACACGCTCTTTGAATGTCCTGCGTGGGATGAAGAAAGGAGGGTGATGGCAAGCGTGTCTAATCTAGATGTGGCACTGAATCAAGGTAACATCGTGTAGTTCATGCTGTCTGGTCCTCAAATGTGGGAAGCTTTCGCAACGTTTGCGCGAAGGGTCCTCTCCGTAAAGGAAGAAGCAGAACGGGAGAGAGAAATGCTGGGACGCCGCCGCGGCCGAAGATAAAATTTAACTTAGTTAAGCCAACGTATTGACTGTATTATAGGCCAACCGGTCAAAAATAGGAGGGGTAGAGCCCTCCATTTTTACTGTATTGTGCTTATTGTAACCTTACGTGAGTAGGGGGATTGTCCCTGCGAACGTTGGATTTGTTTTTGTATTGTTTATCAATAAATGATGGGGGCCAGGAGGAAGTATTACTAACGTAGTTCCCTAATGGTCCTCGGTATTCTTTAAAAAAAAAAAAAAAAGGTTAGGTTAGGTACCCCCCCCCCCCCCCCCCCCCCCCCGACGGGACCCACCTTGACGTGGTGGGGGGGCTCACCGACTTCGGTCGGTGCCAAGAGGTACCCAACTCCCCGGCTCCGACTTTAACTAGTCGGAGTCGGAGCCTCCAGAGCCGCCTCTGACCTTAACTGGTCGGGGGTGGCAGGTACGGTAACCACCTGCTAACACCAGCAAACGGACCCTGAAGGAAAACTGCAAACCACCACGAGAAGGACACTCCAAACCAAAAGATGGATCAAAACAAAAAAGGAAACAGTACCCCTGTCCCAGGCCCCCACGGATTCGGGGGGGGGGCGTCCATCAGGCCAAAACGAACGAAACTAGGAAACCCGCACATGTAGATAATGAAGACACGAATGAGGAAATGCTGGACGAAGACCTTGGGAACTGGGTCTTCGAAACATGGTCCGAAGTCAAAGATTGTATTGAAGAGCTGGCCACCTTGGCAAACAAGATGTATGCCTTCTCTTCGACCACCAAAAACGTCCATAGGGAGATGAAGAATTGGTACATCGAGTTGAAGCAGAAAGCGGAGAAAGCGACCGCTAGAAGTAAGGAGTACCACCCCTACCTAGACAGAGCAAGCGATAGGATAGTAGACCTCTCTACCTCACTTCGAGAGATGAGTGTCCTACAAGACCAGCAAACCACCTCCGACAAGGCAACGGCCACGGAGCCAGAGAACCACAAGACAGATTGGAACAGAGGCTTCCCCACTACAAGACGCAATCTAAGCAGCGAGAAGCCATCCCCAAGGAACCGAACACCTGAGAAGTTACCGGCAAGGGAGACGAAGAGGAAAAAATCTAAGATGAAGAATATACCTCCCCACACACGACAGGGGAAAAATCAGACGCAATACTTAGTAATCATCATTCGTTATTCAGGTTCAGCAACATACGCGGACATGGCGAGGAAACTTAAGACATCCATTGACATCGACAAGATAAATGTCAGTGTCAAAAGTATGAGACGATCCAGAAAGGGGGAACTGATCCTCCAGTTGGCCAAAGGCCCCATGCAGGTAGAAGCAACGGGCAGACTCAAAGATGCAGTCACCGAGACACTGGGAACCGAAGCGGTGGTGGAACATTCTCCCATCACTACATTAGTCGAAATCAGAGACCGGGACTCAACTTCAACAGAGGAGGAAGTACTACAGGCAGTGACCAACACTACAGGCTCTGCCCTGGATACGGCTAGAGTAATTAGAATGGTTCCTTCGTACGGAGGTAATATGATGGCTATAGCAAAGGTGAGATCCAGAGACGCTGAAACACTCCTGAAAATAGGCCGCCTGGTGGTAGGCCTAGTTAGATGCAGAGTACGGCTAAAAGCGCAGCAAAGAAGGTGTTACAGATGCCACGGCTTCGACCACCTCAGGGAAACATGCAGAGGAAAAGACCGCACAGCGCAGTGTAAGACCTGCGGCCAGTTAGACCACAAAGCAAAGGACTGCAAGGAAAACCCGAGATGTGTCCTATGCCAAGATAGCAGACATGACTACGGCCATTACCCGGGCAGCTCATCGTGCTACGAGGCAAGAGCCAGTAAGACATAGCAAGCAGAGTTAAATTATTAAATTAGTTAAGTTCACTATTGTATGCCGAAGGCAACCAAAAAGAGGAGTAGGGGCCTCTATTCGATGTACCCCCCCCCCCATTGTCAATTTTAATTAATTCCCGTATGTACATTACGTAAATAACTGTTTATTTACCAATAAATGATGGGGCATGGGGGTGAAATGACTAACGTCGGTTCCACCCCATGTCCCGATACCATATATAAAAAAAAAAAAAAGGTTAGTTTAGGTTAGGTTCAGCGGTGGCTGTCGTGGAGTACGGACGTGTTTTGTGTCGCTCCCGGGCATTCTCAGTTTTTCTCCAGAAATATCGAACCGTTTTTTGCGCAGTGTATCTCAATCGACGCGTTACGTCGTTCCGCGTCGACAGATCCAAACCGCGCGGAAATCGGTCAAGTTTCCGCGGAGAAATCGCGTTTTTTCCGCAAACCGTGTGTTTTTTCGCTACTGTGCTACGCAGACCCCGTTTCGTTGTAAAAAGTGCGCGTTCAGGCCGGTGTCGGTTTTGAGTCGGCCTGATCAAGACCCACCGCACCCTCCAGAAGGGTCCGGTGCATCGCGCGCGGCAATAGGTGCCCTAGTTCCGGGGAAAACCCGTTTTCCGCCCATCAAGATCAAGGCCGAGTTACAGAGGTTCGGCAAGTCGGACTCACTGAGACGCATCAGTGGACACTTCAACCTTCGAGGTCCGATCCATATTCTGTGAGTAAACCTTATTTTACGGTACGCCCTATGCTTTAACACGGCCGCCCAAAGCCGCCCGTGTAAAATCGGTTTTTCCACCTAAACAGCTGTTTAGCGTCGGGGACCAACTATCGCCGTGATAAGGCTTCGGGGGACAAACGGCACGGTGTGGACAACTGACGTGGTACAGCTGTCGGCGACTACCTTTTCTTGGCGGGATTTTCAAATTTACCCCCACCACGGGGTAAACTTTATTTTGGAATAATTCGGCGAAAAATCGCCGGAGGGAGCCCGGGTAAACGGCCAAGACTTTTACAGGGGGCACCGAAAATATTCCCTCCATCAGGAACATAAGCCCCCTCCCCCCAAAAGGGTTTTTTGCTGATATCTCGGCCGGATTTGGTCGGAGAGCTTCGGGAAAAAAAATGTGGCCTCCCAAAAACCCCCTGTCCTACTAGGACGGCTACGGATACGACCCCGAAGACCGGACCCCCCTAGCCCCCCCAGGAGCGGAGTAAGGGGAATAGATAGGGACAGTGTGTCTCTAAAACAGTTAACAGCGGATTAGGGCACCGATACCTTCGGATTGGGTGCCCACTCCGTTGAAATAAGCATCACAAGTACGAGCCAGAAGGGGCCAGATGCTGGGACATCTCCAAACTGCACCAGCAGTTACGACAGATTATATTCGACGGTGAAGGCTCTGGGCGCGATAGACCATCCTGTACGATGGCGGGATCTCCTTGCTTGGAACCAAAGCCAAAGCCCTCGAAGCTGCATTATCTAAGCTGCGTAGTGACGATGCCAAGGCTACGATAATGGAGTTGCTATCAGTGGTCAGTGCTCTCCAGGAGTCACGCGAAAAGGTTGGCACGGCATTCAACAAATTGGCGTCCACCATTAAAGATGAGAAGAACAAAGAGGTGGTAGTAGTTAAAGAGTCATGCGATGCCGAGACACAGTCCCCGTGCTGGTGGGACTTAGGAGACATGGGCAAACTGACTCAGCGACAGCTCTAACGACGGAGAAAGCTGGCGTGACTTCGGGCACTCCAACCCCCTCTTGGACTGAGGTAATTAAGAAAGGGAAGAACAAGAAACCTCCCACGTCAGCGGAAGTAGCGGAAAAAACTGAAAAGGCAGAAAAACCCGGAGCCACGCGACCGCGAGCCAGAGCGCGGCCGTCAGCAATCCTGGTAAACGTTGGTGATATGCAATTCCCGGAGCTAGCCAAGAAGATACGCGGGGGCGTCAACCAGGCGATCATCGGTGACAGTGTTGTGGGCATGAGACAGGCTAAATCTGGCGGCCTACTCATTGAAGTTCGCGGTGACCAGGAGCACATAGAAGCGGTCCGTGCTGAAGTCGCTAGGTCTGCGGGGCCCGACGTCCAGGTGAAATCCCTACAGCAGAGGGCACTGGTGGAGATATTGGACCTGGATCAGTGGACCAGCTCTGACGAAGTCAACCAAGCGGTGGCGGGTGCGGCAAGCATCGGGCAGGACACCGTCAAAGTGGTGAGCCTCAGGAAAAGGTTCGTCGGCTCACAGCTGGCTCTGGTATCTCTTCCCCAAGTGGCCTCGCGGAAACTGACCAACGCAGGTCGGCTGCGAATTGGCATGGTCAGTTGCAGGGTCAGAATGGCCGACACCAAGGTCAGGTGCTTCCACTGCCTTGCTTTCGGACACACTTCAAACAATTGTGAAGGGCCCAGATAGGACCGCGTGTTGCAGGCGATGTGGGGAGGCTGGCCACAAGGCGGCCAACTGCACCGCTTCTGATCAGGCAGCGAGCGCCTTCGCCAAGGTGGTCGATGCGGCTAAAACTATACAGTCATGATGGGCACAAGGCCGGGCAACTCCCCTCGTGCAGTCATCTCGGATGGGACTGTCATTCAAATTAACCTCAATCACTGTTGGGCAGCCCAACAGCTGCTGATTCAGACGATGGCGGAACGGAGCGCTTACATCGCAATCATCTGTGACTATCTCAGGCCAATGGGTGACAACGAGCGTTGGATCAACAGTGACGACGGCAAGTCGGCAATCTATGTAACGGGTAACCCACGCCCGCTCATTATGGACCACGGCGCCGGTCTTGGTTTCGTTTGGATCAATAACAGCATTGTCTATAGCTGTTACTGCAGTCCTAACTGCACCATTGCAGAGTTTGACACCTTCCTGGCTAGCCTCGAGGCGTCCATTCGCCTCCAATCCAGCAGTCAGGCAAATCTCATCGTGGCTGGTAACTTCAATGCCCATTCAGCCAGCTGGGGTTCAGCTACGGATAACGCACGGGGTTCGCTGCTATCCGACTTGGCATCGACCCTAGATATGATGATCTGCAATAGAGGCTCTACTCCGACGTATGCACGGGCAAACGCAGCATCGGTCATTGACGTCACTATGGCGAGGCCTCTGCCCGGCAACCACCCCCTTTTCACGGATTGGATGGTGTTAGAAGACGTGCATTCAGCTAGCGACCACGCATACATCTCGTTCAACGTGGTGACTGCACAACCACGACTTCGTTCCGACTGCCCATCTCGCGCCCCGGCTCCAGGTTGGTCAGTCAGGAAGCTCAATCCTGCGGTGGTTAACTTATACTGGGACCTGGTAGGTGCTCCTCTCACGCTTCCTGCAAACGCGCCAGCCGATAGTCACGCCGACAGCCTTAGCGAATTTTTAACTAGATCCTGTGACGCTACGATGCCACGCAGGGCAGTATTTACGGGGAAACGTTCGGCATACTGGTGGAACAGAGATATAGCGGAACTACGCAGGATCGCCAATGCTGCCCGCAGGAAGTATCAACGAGCCGGCCGACGATCGTCAATGTCTTCACGAGAACCGGAGCGTGAGGCATACAACAGGGCGAGACTGGACCTAAAGCACGCCATAAGGAAGTCACAGGAGAAGAGCTGGCAGGAGCTGTGTCTATCCGTGGAAAACGATCCTTGGGGAGTTCCATATAAATTGGTGTCAAAAAGACTCGGCAGACGTGCCCCCGATCTGAACCACGACCTGGTGGTCAATCTTGCCCGCGGTCTATTTCCGGAGTCACCCCACACGGACTGGGCTAGCATTCCCAACGAGTCCCAACCGCCGACTGTCTTGGTAGACCTACCCTCGACGCTCGACGACGAACCCTTGGTGCCACCAATAACACCCCAGGAAATAGACAGCGCCGTTGCCAGGCTACCGTCGGGAAAGGCACCGGGTCCTGACCTTATCCCAAATGAAGTAATTAGACTGGCTTACAAAAAATTTCCAGAGCAGTTTACTACTTGCTACAACAAATGTCTCTTCAGCGGGGTTTTCCCAGCAAGGTGGAAGCGCGCAAAACTTGTGCTCTTGTACAAGGGACAGGGCAAAGGGCGAGACCTCCCATCGAGCTATAGACCAATCAGCTTGTTGGACGGAGTGGGCAAAGTATTCGAGAGGGTGCTGCTCAACAGGCTGGAGACACACATCGCTAGGGTTGGTGCCCTAAGTGACAACCAGTACGGGTTCAGGCGGTCCAAATCCACCATCGGTGCCATCGAAGAGGTCCTCAGAGTAGCCGAGTCGGCCAAACGCGGTCCAGTCCAGAACAGGGACCTGTGCGTACTTGTCTCCCTTGACGTCAGGAACGCGTTCAATTCGGCGCCCTGGAGGTTCATCGACGAGGCGCTACGGAGATCTTCTATCCCGCACTACTTGGTGAAAATTCTAAGGTCATATATGGAGGACAGGGAGCTCATAATCGGCGAAGACACGAACATTCCCGTAACATGTGTCCCGACGATGTAATGAACGTGCTTTGCGGGCCGGTTCCGGCAGAGCTCCCAGAGGACCTGCCAACCAGGAGGAGTATCATTTTGGCAGCCACCAGAAGGAGGGAATTGTTCATCCACATGGTAGAAGACATTATGGGCTGCAAGGAGGAAATGGAAAGAGAACGGCAGCGTGCAGATATATAATTATAAATTAGTTAAGCACTGTATATTGTGGGCTGAACGGCCACTTCAGGGTGGTTAGAGGCCCCCATATTTGTTAAATTAAATATTTGTCTAGTTCATTTATTGTATTGTGTGATCTTCATTAATAAATGATGCGCCCAGGGAGGCAGCAATGGGGAAACCTAGTTCCCTCCCTGGCGTGCGATTCAAACAGGAAAAAAAAAAAAAAAAAAAAAAAAAGGTTAGGTTAGGTTAGGTTAGGTTAAAAAATATAAGATCAGAAACCAAGAGTGGAAACCAGAAAGAAGAAAAAAGAACGTCCAAAGGAAAAAAGAAGACTGAAACCATACTCATCAAATCCTCCGGAGTTTCTAGCTACGCTGACATCACGAGGAAATTGAAGAGAAACATTGACGTCAACACACTCAAAGTTGACATTAAAACGATGAAAAAAACGGAAAGAGGGGACCTCATATTGCAAATAGATAGAGGCCCGAAGCAAGCGGAAGCAGCAGAGAGACTAAAAACCGCGATAGTCGAGGTCCTGGGCGAAGAAGCAGTAGTCGAATACAAGCTGAAATCCGCCACGGTCGAGATAAAAGACCTAGAGCCGGAAACCTCAGAAGATGAAGTAAAAAACGCGGTCGTCAAAGCGACAGACGTTGCCCCAAACTCCATCAAGCTACTTCCTTCATTCGGGGGTACCAAGATGGCTGTGGTAAGGCTGAGAGACAGAGAAGCAATTGAACTTGGAAGAATTGGAAGACTAACAGTAGGCCTGATGCGGTGCCGAGTGAAACTTAGTCAACAAATAGTAAGGTGCTTTAGATGTCACGATTTTGGACACATCAGGGCGAAGTGTTCAGGAGCGGACCGCTCTAACCTCTGCATGACATGTAGAGCTGCAGCAGCCCACCCAGATGCGTTCTCTGCAAGGACAACGGTCACGATGGTTCACACTATCCTGGCAGCGGGAGATGCAAAGCAGCACAAGAGGCGAAGAAAAAAAAAAAAAAGAACTAACCTTAGTTAAGTCTTGTACATTGTAAGCCAAACGGCTAAAAATTTTCAGGGTGGTTAGAGGCCCCCAAATTCTCATTGTAAAAAATAATTAATGTTATATTATAAATATGTAATTCCAAATGAAATTTTGTGTAACAAATAAATGATGGAGCATGGGGGTGAAATGACCGCAAGGTTAGTAAGACCCCATGCCTAGATACAACGTAAAAAAAAAAAAAAAAAGGTTAGGTTAGGTTAGGTTCCCCCCCGACGGGACCCACCTTGACGTGGTGGGGGGGCTCACCGAAAGAGAACGGCAACGTCAAGAATAACACAATTAGTTAAGTTTGCTTTGCTGTGGGCCGAAGGCCACTTTTTGGATGGTTTAGGGCCATCCATTTATTTGTAATTTTATGTAATTATGTATTCCTATGTATGATTTGATTTGTTCAATAAACATGTGGGGGACCTGACGAAATGCCTTAGGGCGTCTCCGGCCCTCCACGATAAAAAAAAAAGGTTAGGTTCCCCCCGACGGGACCCACCTTGACGCGGTGGGGGGGCTCACCGACTCCATTCGCTGCTAAGAGGTACCCAACTCCCCGGCTCCGACTTTAACTTGTCGGAGTCGGAGCCTACAGAGCCGCCTCTGACCTTAACTGGTTGGGGGTGGCAGGTACGGTAACCACCTGCTAACACCAGCAAACGGAACCTGAAGGAAAACTGCAAACCACCACGAGAAGGACACTCTAAACCAAAAGATAGATAAAAACAAAAATGGAAACAGTACCCCTGTCCCAGGCCCCCACAGATTCGTCGGGGGGGGGGGGGGGGGGCGTCCATCAGGCAACAAATACTGGAAACTGGAAACTAGGACATGAAGATTATGAAGAAACAACCAAAGAGGAAGAAATAGCTGACGAAGACCTTAGCAACTGGGTGTTTGAAAGCCAGGTCTATCTACATGGACTAATTGAAGAGGTGGTTGATACCTTGGCTGATAAGATGTATTCGTTCTCCTCCACCACCAGAAATGTCCACAAAGACATAAAAGGTTGGTGCGCTGAGCTAAAAGTGAAGATGAAGAAAACGCTTGAGGCAAGTGAAACTTTCAAGCCATACGTGGACAAAGCGGGCGAATAACCTAACCCTGCTGGAAGCGAGCATACCGCAAATCCCACCAACTGTAGAAACTAAGGATAAGGAGACCAACACCGAGCCAGCGGTCCCAGCACTGGTTCCGAGAAGCGACAGCAATCCTATTAGAAGTTACATCAATGAACAAAAGAAGACGCACCCAAGCAATCAGCCTGCAGTGCGAGAATCACTTCGGGAGGGTAAAAAGAAGAAAGCGAAGATGAAACGCCAAGACACTTGCTCTAGACAGGCCTCGGCAGAGGGCGCAGGACGCAAGGAACGAAGACACCGAATTCGGAACCCCTACAGGAAGACCAACAACGAAGCCGTAGTCGTCCGCCCATCCGGACAAACAACCTACGCCGACGTTGCCAAGAAGTTGAAGACGACCATAAATGTCAGTACGCTGAACGTCAACATTAAAGGTATGAAGAAAGCGAAGTCAGGAGACCTCATACTCCAGATAGACAGGGGACCCAAACAAGAAGAAGAAGCAGCGAGACTAAGGGAAGCGGTCATTCAAACGTTAGGATCTGACGCAGTGGTGAAACACACAAACAGGACCGAAACAATAGAAGTACGAGATCTGGACTCAGAAACAACGACTGAAGAGATCACACAGGCGGTGGTAAACACTACAGGTACCTCACCAGACTCGGTGAAAGTAATCAGAATGCTTCCATCATATGGAGGCAACTTGATGGTGGTGATAAAAATGAAGCACAAAGACGCATCCATGCTACAAACACTAGGCCGCCTTATTGTAGGACTAGTGCGATGCCGAGTAAAGCTAAAAACTCAGATGCCAAGATGCTACAAATGCCATAACTTCGGACACTACAGAGCCTCGTGTTCAGGAGCAGATCGCTCTAACCTCTGCATGACATGTGGGGACGGTGACCATGAGGCGAAGAGCTGCAGCAGCCCACCCAGATGCGTTCTCTGCAAGGACAACGCTCACGAGAGTTCACACTATCCTGGAAGCGGGAGATGCAAAGCAACACAAGAGGCAAAAACTGGGCGACGGACTGCAACCTGAGTGCGAAAACAAAGGTCAGAAGGAAGAGCAGCAAAATAAAAACTTTAGTTAAGTAAAATGTGCACTGAAAGTGAAAATTGAGGGGATAGAGCCCCTCCAAAATTTGTAAGGTCACAGGCAGGGGGATTGTCCCTGTGAGTGACCAACGTTTTGTGATGTTCTTTGGAATAAATGATGGGACATAGGGGTGAAATAATCGCAAGGTTGGTACTACCCTATGTCCCGATACTATGTAAAAAAAAAAAAGGTTAGGTTAGGTTAGGTTAGCCTCCGTGCGTGAGAAACGTCATACCGGTCAGTCAGGAAGACATCGATCGGGCATGCTTCTCGGTGGAGGACGTGAAAGCGGCAGCGAGAGGGCTACCGAACGGTAAGGCCCCGGGGCCAGACGGTATTACCAACGAAGTCCTGAAGGTCGTGGTCGGTCTTTTTCCACAGTTTTTTGCTGCGGTATTCAACAGCTGTATGAGGAACGCGTATTACCCGCCAGAATGGAAGACCGCGAACCTGGTATTACTACGCAAACCGGGCAAGGCATTAGACAACCCGTCTGCGTACCGCCCCCTGTGCTTGCTCGACTCAGTGGGCAAGCTGTACGAAAAGCTGCTGACGGTGAGGCTGCGCGAGCACCTCACGAAGACTGGCCAGGCGGGCAACCAATTCGGTTTTCGACCGGGTAAATCTACTCTTGACGCGATGTCGAAGGTGCGTTCCGCTGTTCGAAACGCGAACGGGAGGGGGCAGGCCTACAATCTGTTTGTTGGTATGCTAACGCTCGACGTTAAAAACGCGTTCAACAGTGCCCCCTGGGACAAAATCCTCGACGCGCTTGCGCGGAAGAGCACCCCGCCGTAAATACAGAACATTATAGGGCGGTACATGTCGGAAAGGAGAATAGTCGTCCACGCGCCAGACGGGAGCGCCAGACACGTGGACGTCAGCTGCGGCGTGCCGCAAGGCTCGGTCCTTGGGTCGGATCTGTGGAACGCCTTGTATGACGACCTCCTGGGGATAGTGCTTCTACCGGACGTGGAGATAATCGCGTTTGCGGACGATGTGGCATTATTGGCAACGGCATCCGTACCCGTTTTGCTGGAGGAGAGGCTGGAGCAGGCACTTGGGGACGTTGTCGATTGGCTGACTGCCAACGGGCTGGAGCTGGCCGTCGACAAGTCCGAAGCGATACTCCTCACAAATCGCAACAAGCACAACCGCATGACGGTAAAGTTTGGGGAGCATCGCTTCGAGTCGAAGGACGCAGTGAAATATGTGGGTGTATCGATTGATCCGAGATTGCACTTTAAGGAGCATGCTGAACGGACGGCGAAGAGAGCGTCGGATACCTGCCGCCAGCTCACCCAGATCCTTCCGAACCTAAGAGGTCCCAGGCAGCGGACAAGGAAGGTACTGGCCTCTGTGGTTACCTCCCAGATGCTATACGGAGCGCCCTTTTGGTTTTTTATAATAATTAACATTGACATTTTAAGTTGATACCTACTCTCTATAAGCATGGCTTGTGGTGAGAGTAGGGAGTCTTAAAAATTAATTACAGTAATTACTAAAAAATATAACAAATAAGTTCAGTACAAATATAATAAATACAGATATTAAATAAGATTTTCAAAGGACTGCGTATACATATTTTTTAACATTTTTTTAAATTTAACATCATTATCAATCAATTTGAGATTTGTTGGTAGTCGATTAAATAAGTTTATCCCTCTGTTTATATAATAATTACTCATCAATGATGTGTTATGTTTAATTAAATTTAAGTTTCCATTGATCATTCCTCTTGTTTTATACATATTCAGGGATTCATAAACTGTTTTATTCATATATATTTTTAAAATTGATGTTTTATTGTATAACTGTTCCAATGATAATATTTTTAATTTTTGGAATATAGTATTTGTGTTAATTTCGGAATTATAAGTATTTTTCGTTATTACTCTGACGAGAGTTCTATGTGTTACATTAAGTGGTTCAAGTACATTTTTATAGGCGGAGCCCCATACTATTATGCCATACATTAAGACAGACTGAACTAATGCAAAATAAACCCTGGTTTCCCTCCATAACGGCCGAGGCACTACACAAAATGGAGGTGGTGTACCGCAGAGTCATGCTGAGGGTCGCCTGTTGCTACCGCACGGTATCGTACGACGCAGTGGCGGTCGTATCCGGCATGCAACCATTTGCGTTGCTGGCCGAAGAGCGGCAGAAAATCTACGGGGCATCCTGAAGTGTGTAGCCAGGGACCAGCTGATGAGCAGATGGCAAACAGCTTGGGACAATGCGGCAAATGGCAGGTGGACGTACCTTCTCATCAAAGATCTAGCGCCCTGGCTGAGGAGGCAACACGGTGAAGTTTCCTTCCACCTCAGTCAAGTGCTGACCGGGCATGGCTGTTTCGGTGAGTACCTCCATCGGTTCGGGAAAACCGACAGCGACCGCTGTGCTCTGTGCGGGACGGCTCCAGACGATACCGAACACGCAGTTTTCAACTGAGACGCTTTTCACCACTGGAGAACCGAAACGTGTGTTTACCTTGGCGTCGACCAGCTCTCGCCGGACAATTTATGAAGCACCATGCTGAGGTCTAGCGCGGACTGGCAGAGGGTGTCATCGCTGATCGAGAGGATAATGAGGATTAGGGAACAGGAGGAACGGGCAAGACAGCAGGCACCGGGCGGTGTGCAGTGAGCCCACGGATGCACGAGCAGTCGAGAGCGGCGGAATAAGTTCGGCTCGCGAAGACGGTCAGGGCACGAGTTCCCGGAGAAGAGGAGAAGAGCCTAACAGCAGGAAAATTATAATGTATAATAGTTAAGTCTTATTGTTTTTTGTAGCCGGAATGGCATACCAAACTTAAATTGTTGTTTGTATATATAAATAAATGATGGAGGCCGGGGGGAAGTAATGCGAAAGCAGTTCCCCCCCCCGGTTTCCCGATGCCACAAAAAAAAAAAAAAGTTTAGATTTCCCCCAGCGTGGGGCCTCCGCATTTCGGTCGAGGGTCACAGCAGCCTGCGACCTTGCCTTTTCCGCCCGCCGGACACCCAATCATAGGAAGCCTCCCGTTCACTGGTGGAACGCGGACATCGAGGCTCTCCGTGCTGACTTCACCAGGGCCAAACGCCGGATGACGAGGGTGACCGCCTGGGTGTCAAGACTGCGGCGCCGCCAGGCCCACGAGTTCGACGAAGAACGGGCAGAAGCAGAGCTCGCCTTGACCAACGGTGCATACCGTGAAGCCAAGAGGCAGTTGAAGATCGCCATCCTGCGCAGCAAGAAGACGTGCTGGAAAGAGCTAATTTCCTCAGTGGACGCCGATCCGTTCGGTAAGCCGTACAAACTGGTGATGCGCAAGCTAAGAGGTCCCCCAAAAACCGCCTCGATGGAATACGCGACGCTGCAGTCGGTCGTCGATACCCTGTTCCCTAAACACCAAGCGAGAACGGACGGCCCGCTGGTCCCTGCGGATCCAGTAGTCCTGTTCACGGCTTCGGAAGTGGACTTGGTGGTCCAGAGGGCGGGCAGCAAGAATAAAGACCCAGGCCCAGACGGACTCACTGGCAAGATACTTCGAGCGGTGCACAAGGCGCACCCGAACATCCTACCGGACCTATACAACAGCTGCCTCCGTAGTGGGACCTTCCCTAAGGAATGGAAGACCGCCAGGGTGGTGTTGCTGAAGAAAGGGAACAAGCCGGACGGTGTACCCTCTTCCTACAGGCCTCTCTGCCTGTTGAACGACGTTGGCAAGATCCTCGAGTTCCTGCTCGCGCGAAGACTCGAGGACCACATGTCGGACAGCGGTGGGCTCTCGGACAACCAGTTTGGCTTCAGGAAAAAGAAGTCCACGGACGACGCGGTACGTGAGTTACAGGCCAACCTCTTGGAAGGAGTCAACGGGGGTAAGTACTGCCTAGCCGTCAGCATCGACATCCGGAACGCATTCAACTCCATCAAGTGGTCGGACATCATGAACGCCCTGCTGGGGTGGAGCGTCCCGCAATACCTGCAGAACATGTTTAGGTTGTACTTCTCCGGAAGAACGGGAACGGTGCACGCGAACTGCGCGGAGGGTGGTACCCTAGATATCGAGATTTCCGGAGGCGTGCCCCAGGGTTCCGTCGTAGGCCCCCTCCTATGGAACGCTACGTTTGATGCCGTCCTGAGAACCGAGCTGCCCAGCGGAGCGAAGCTGCTGGGATTCGCGGACGACACGATGTTGGTCACCAGGGCCAAGTCGACCCAGGAGCTGGAAGAAGTGACCAATGAAGCACTGTCCCTGTTCGGGGTCGATGACCGCCCACCTTGTCGTGGTGACCCCGCCCGACCGGGCTTAATTGTCCGGCGCTAAGAGGCGTTCAAAAACTGTCCGGAGCAGGCCAACTCCGGGCTTCTAACACCTGCCATGGATATATGCAACCGCCAATCTAGCCCGCCGGCGGCCAGAGGGTTATCAGAGGTAGGGCTATCAGAGGGCAGCCCCCTCTAAAAAACCAACATGAATACACAAAGAAAACAACTTGATGATACCGGCACAGAGGCCCAGGAAACCTCAGGCCCGGCAGGTGTGGGTGAGCTCGCCACACAGGTCGTGATCAGTAGCTCTGGTAATGCGAAAATGAAAATGGAAACGGTACAGTTGGATATAGATGATACGGACATTGTTATAAACGGAAACTGCTACTCTGTCCCCCTTAGACTCAGGGGAGGGTGTGATGATGAGAAAATTATGGATGTTACAGAATCCAATAACAGAAGTGGTGACATGGACGCCACTGGCAGCCAGAAACGTGGCCAACCCTCACCAGGTGGTCAGGTGGCAAAAGAGCCCCGCACCAAGGAAACTAACGAAATGAGCGATCTTATTGGCTGGATCGAGCAAACAGTAATCCAAGAAAAGGACAAGAAAAAGATAGGCGTGCAGGTGGTGGAAAAAATGCTCGCCAAAATAAAAAGACTGAGGTCGGTGGCTCAGAGCCTTGCACAAGAAAATCACAGACTAGCTGGTGAGCTGAAGGGCAAGGACGAGGCCCTCCAACAAAGCCTCACGGTATTTATTGATAAGCTTGACAAAAAAAACGCTGAAACTAGCGGCCTGAGGGCCGAGTTGAACGTGTTGAGGTCTACCAGGGAAGCACCACGTCCGGTAACGACTCAACAGCCTACCTACGCCTCTAAGACGGCGAGGACAGTCCCAAAGACAGTACCTAGGACGGTAGCGGTGCCTGACACTGCAAGCGTACCCCCGGCGAAGTCCAACAGGGGTGGCCGAGAGGGTCCGCGCCGATAAGAGTAGAAAGGTAAAGGCGACATCACGCTTCCTAATAGAAATAGCACAAGACACGACTGTAGCTAGTGCCAAAGCGGAAATTTGGCAGAGGGTAAGGGCGAAGTGTAAAAACCCGAAGGCCAAGACAATAGTAAGCGGTAAAACGCTGATAATCATCCCTGATGACGCCAATACGTTGGAGGTGATGAGGGGCATCGATAATGTGCTAGAACTAGGCCCGAAGAAACCCCGCGTCATTATATATGACGTCGACGGTGGAGTTACAAAAGAAGAGCTGACCTAGTGTCTCTTGGTGCAAAACTCCGAGCTAGGTATTACGTAGAAAACACGACGAGACTTCACAAGTTGGGCCCGCGCAACAGTGATGTGGTCCACTGGGTGGTGGAAGTACCCCCGGGCGTCCTCGCCAAGATTGAAAATAAGTCATAATAAGCCATCGAGATGGTCACCGAGGCAACCGAGAACCTCAGAACGAGCACTGTCAGCATGCATAGTGCGTTCTACGAGACAGAGAAGGCATTAATCAGAGAGACAAACACACAGAAATCTGGAGCAGACGCAGTCAAGCCGGTCTTAGCGGAGACCCGAGCATCCATCATCGAACTTCGAGGTATGATGGAAAAGCAGGGATCGCTACTAGAAGAACTGTCAAAACAAGTAGAGCAGAATCACCAACAGCAATCCGTCGCGGCTAAGACACCCAGGACGGACGCGCCAACAAGAAACGCGTGGAGAAATAAAGACAAACCCCAAAACCCAGCTGACCAACCTCAGGGCAGCAGCCAGGCCACAGAAGAATTTCCGCCAGCAAATGAGTGGAAGACAGTCAGAAAACCCCGGAAGACAAAAAGGGGCACACAGAGAACAAAAACGAAACGAACAGGAGAAAGAGACAAAAGCCCCCGCCCCCAGACGCTATAGCGGTCAGGCCAGCAGAGGGAGAAACGACTGCTGATATACTGAGGTCAATAAAGCGCGACGTGGAGATAGACAAAATAGGCGCATTAGTATCCACCATAACAGAAAGCAGAAGCGGGGAGATCATTATAAAACTAACTGCCAAGGACACTAAGAGGGCGGCTCTCGAAGACGAGCTGAAAAATAAACTCGGCACACGGGCCGGGGTACGAGGACTAACGAGATTCGAAGATGTAGAGATACAGGACTTGGACTCGGCCACAACGGTCACGGACGTAGAAACATGCATCCGCCACGCGCTAGGCACACACGAAGACGATCAGACGATCCAAGTCAAGAGCCTCAGACCATCATACATGGGGACCCAGAGAGCCACGGTGAAAATGAAAAGCACGAACGCTCACAAACTCGAAAAAGCAGGGAGAGTCAAAATAGGCTGGGTCAACGCTAGAACAAAGATTAAAATAAGGGCCATTAAGTGCTTCAGATGCCTCGGCTACGGGCACCGGAAGCAGTCCTGCACAGGAGTTGACCGAACAGAAAAATGCTGCCTATGCACAGGCACAGGACACAAGGCAACATCATGCAATTCCCCACCGAAGTGCGCTGCATGCGAGGACATAAAAGAAAAAACAGACCACTATCCAGGCAGTGGAAAATGCACAGCATACCAGAGAGCAATGGTTCCAAACAAAACGAACCCACGCGAAAACGAGCGGAGAGGGCCGAACACAGATAGTGTCGCCCAAACGCACACCAGCAATGCATAAATACCTGCAGATCAACCTGAACTGCTGCAAAGCAGCTCAGGCCCTCATGCACCAAGTTGCGGCAGAGGAGGCGGTGGACTTCATACTAACAAATGAACACAATAGAGAAGAAGGGGCAAACTGGCACGCCGACACACTGGGCAAGGCAGCCATAGTCAACGTTAGAAAAACGAGACTGGACAAAGAGGGACTGGGAGAGGCAGGCTTTAGGTGGGTAGAAGTACACGGCCTGAGACTGTACTCCTGCTACTGGTCTCCGAACTCCACCATCCAGGAGTACAAAGACTTCGTAACCAGATCGTAACCGATCTTCCTCACAGGGGATTTTAATGCAAAACACGTAGACTGGGGCTGTCCAAGAAGCGACAAGAGAGGCGACATTCTGATGGACATGGTCAACTCCGCTGGTCTGGTGATCTGCAACAGAGGAAAAGAGAGCACACACAACAAAGGTTCAATCATCGACATAACGATTGCAACCCCTCGCACGGCTCAAACCATGAACAAGTGGAACGTACTTTACAGAGAGACGCTGAGAGATCATTACTACATCCTGTTCGAAATCACAGTCGGACTACCAACCACCGAGACACGCAGAAAACTCAAGATCGATGCCAAGAAACTAGAAACGCTCCTAAAATCAGATTACCTATCCCAAACCATGAACAGGTACACAGAAGCAAACCAGGGGGCGCTGGCGCTCTCGGAAGCCATAAACAAATGTCGTCCACCAGGCCAAAGCAGAGCGAAGGACAGGAAATCCATGCAATGGTGGAGCCCAGAAATAAACACACTACGAAAGAACGCAAACCACCTACGAAGAGCCTTAAAGCGAAAAAGAAAGAAACACGGCCAAGCAGGCAGTGCCGAAGAAGAAGAAAACGCCAAAGCAGCTAGAAGGGATCTCGCACATGCCATAGAGAGAGCAAAAGAGTCGGCATGGAGAAGTTATACATATACTATACAATTCTAATTTAACTTTAACAATAAAAAATTTAATAGATTTTTTTTTATTTATAAACTCAGTGGAATACTGCCTAAATACTTTCTCAGACTCTATGCATACTGTCTGTAGGCATTTACTAGGTTTCTTCAAACCACCTCTGTCTTTTATCTCTGCCAGTTTACTTTCATGTGTTGTTGTCATTGAAGTTAAAGAATTTTTGCAAGTATCACAAGCAATTTTCCTTTCTAACTTCATGGCAACAAACCCTGCAATATATATTGTAACATCTTCAACATAAGAATTCATACGTTCAACTGAGGCAAAATAATCATGATCATGACTTTCAGTCATATCTATTTGTTCTTCTAGATTATTATTTTTAAATATCCTAGTCATTGGTAGTGTTTTTGTGCTGTCGAGAATGGTACAGTTTCCATGCATTGAACCAATTATTGTGTTATGTACTAATAATCGTTTATAAGCCGCTTGAAACTGGCGGCATGTCGGGTTATCATTATAGCCTCCTCGGCTACGCACAGCACTAAAAAATGTCTCTAAATGATCCTGACTAAGTTTGTAAGTAATGAGAAATGTTATGTGAGATTTCGCTTGTAATATTTCAAATAACTCTAGTGCACTGTGCAAGCCCATGACCATTCCTTTAAAACCCGTCTTCCTTCTTGATTCTACTATTTTTAAACCGTCTAAAAATTCTAAGTTTTCTATATAATTAGTAAATTCATTTGTAAATGTTTTATACTGGTCAAATGTTTTAGCAGAAATAGCACTGTTGTAAGGTTTTTTAGAATATAACTTCCTACTGTTCATTACGTCAAATGCATTATTAACCATACTACAAAATTCAGCAGTTGCTTCACATCCTTCAAAATTTGGATCTTCTTTCTTCAAGTAAAGTAAAGCATCACTTACACTTTTACTCAACACCTGGCTAGCTAAACGAACATTCATTTTTTCATTTTGGTACATTACATGTCTTGAAGTTAATTTTGTCCCTAATTTTAAGCCTTCTTCTTGTTCTTTTTCAAACAACTTTTCTATAAACTTCCATTCTATAAATTTTCCATCACCATTTTTCAATATCTTTTTATCACCAAAAGTATTGCGAATCAGCTTAATCATGTGTGCTTGGTCATGAAAAACAAGAATTTTTTCTAATGTATTTGAATTTTGAATATAATGGGTTTTTGTATTAAGATCAGCACCTAATGAAGTACACATACTCAGATTTACTGAAGCCCCATCAAAGGTTACTGAATGGAGATTTGCTCCGGTTTCAGTTATAAGGTCAATAGCTTTAGCAAGTAGATTTCCTCGTTCTATTCCAGTCAAGCTATCAATTAAAAAATATCCTACAGGTATTTTCCAATATCCGTTCATACCAACAACTAGAAAAACTAACGCATTTTTTGCTAGAGGTATGTCATCATAGTCATAGACTACATTTGTACCCATATTAACATGACCATAAACATTTTGATGAGTGTCAGTTTCTAAATGGCGTTTCACACACATCTCGTCTACGGTTAAGTTGCAATAAACATGACCAGCAGCTACTTTTTGTTTTATTGCTTCTAATGCCTCTAATGTAAAACCTGGTTTACCATCTACTACTGTGTACCATCGCCTTAACGTTCTGGGATGTGGTAAAATATTTGAAAATGATTTTCTTACGTATAAATATGCCCGGGGCGAATAATATTGTAAAGTTAAGGCAAATTCGCGGATTTCTTTGGGATAAGTAAATTGTTTTCCTGAACGAGCTTTTTTTACAATTGATTCCAAAGTATCTGATCCCATAGCCTATCAACAAAGTGAATACAAAACAATTGCTTAAATGATAATCGTGACTTTAAAAATTAATTTCTCATATAGTTTATACCAGTGGCATAGATAGGGTCTTTTTTAATCCCCCTCCTTTCAGAAATCATGTCTACGCCACTGGTTTATACTCATGGGTGAGTTTATTTAATACAAAGTTAATTCTACTATTTATTTAAATTAGATTAAATCATAAATGATACACTAAAAGCATTACAATTAAAGTTACATTTTATTTTCTATTTTCAAAAATAACACAGGAGCTAAAACAATACATTAACTAAGTAATAACAATCTACAATACATTAACTAAATAATAAAAACCAACAATATTAAATTAAAATATACAATACACACATAAAAATTTAAATATCATAATAAACCAATGTACAAACACAGGCAATGTTCTTATGTTAAGTTTGCTTAGGGCTTGTTTTACAATCATAGTTTAAACCTCGGTTACGCCTAACCCACTGATTTTACAGGCCAAATTCGTTGGTTTAACCTTAGTTTAAAGATTGTAATACGGTCACTTAGAGGTTAATTTACTTCTAATATTAAAGCTAACAACACAAAATTAGTTCAGCAGAATCTATTACAGTTAAAATTACATTTTATTTTATTTTTTTCAAAAATAACACAAAAGCTCAATACATTAACTAAGTAATGACAACCAACAATATAAAATTTAAAATGAGTTATAACAAAGTCAAATATTACAACATAAAATTAATATATTAATAAAAGCCTATGAGATGCTCCATAAAATATTATGCCCTTTATATTTTTATATACATTACATAATATATATTTGTATCTAACCTCTAAATTGATTGCCGCATTTTCAGAAATCAAACTTTTGTTTTTGAGTTCTTTTACAATATTATTTAAATATTCTACTCTTTTTTTTAATCTTACATTATTTTGTGTTAAAAGTTTGTTTTTTTTCCTTAAATTTGTAACAGCATTTTTGATAGTTGTAAGGTTTCTTTTTCTTCGTTTTGGTGTTAAAAAATCGTCTTCGTCTAAGTCGCCAATTCTACTTGAACTCATATATTTCTTTTTTATACCACTAAAATCAAGAGACCTGAAATATTGATCTTTGTAAAAATAATTGAATACGTAAGGGGTTTGTACGGGTTGAAATACTTTATTATACCTTTTACTTGTACTTGGTGGAGATTCATTTGAACTGTCAATATGAGTTACTATATGTATATCGATGTCGCTATCGTCAGTACGACAATCAACATCAATTAAACTAAAAAAAAGATGTACTGTAGTTATTTAATACCTATATTAAGTAAAAATTATTAGTTTATATAGTTGAAAAAGTAATTTAATACCTGTTGCTCATTAAATACATGTCATGTTCTAAGGAAGTTTCACAACTTTCGACTCCGTATTTCACTTCTTTCCTATAAATCAATAAAAACAGTATATTTAAATAACTTAAATTACTAGAATACATATTATGAAGTCAAATATTTATATTATTGGAATGGCATCTGAATCATTTGAACTGTCAATATGAGTTACTATCTGTACATCGATGTCTCTATTGTCAGAACAACAATCAACATCAATTAAACTAAAAACAAGATATTATAATGTAGTTGTTTAATACTTATAATAAGTTAAAAATTATTGATATATATAGTTGAAAAAGTAACTTAATACCTGTTGCTCATTAAATACATGTCATGTTCTAAGGAAGTTTCACAACTTTCGACTCCGTATTTCACTTCTTTCCTATAAATCAATAAAAACAGTATATTGAAATAACTTAAATTACTAGAATAAATATTATGAAGTCAAATATTTACATTATTGGATTGGCATCTGAATCATTTGAACTGTCAATATGAGTTACTATCTGTACATCGATGTCTCTATTGTCAGAACAACAATCAACATCAATTAAACTAAAAACAAGATATTATAATGTAGTTGTTTAATACTTATAATAAGTTAAAAATTATTGATATATATAGTTGAAAAAGTTATTTAATACCTGTCACTCATTAAATACTCGTCATGTTCTAAGGAAGTTTCACAACTTCCCACTACGTTTTTCACTTCTTTCCTATAAATCAATAAAAACAGTATATTGAAATAACTTAAATTACTAGAATAAATATTATGAAGACAAATATAAGACTAATTAATAAGACTAATATTTTTAATTTACATAACTAGTGAAGTAAATGATTAAGTGGAAAATATAAAAAAATTGAGATAAGTGTATAATAACTATAACTGGTATTATTTAGTATAAATAAAGTACATATTAGAATAAATATTTATAAAATGAATAATATTGTTTGGAATACATAATAAATAATTAATTACCGTTAATCCATTGAAACATAAGGGAAAATTATCCATTAGCATTTTAAATCCCTTTTCATAGGCCACAGCCGTTTGTTGCTTATGAATTAAAACCCCAAGTGGCACTGCACCTCCCTTTGTAGCTGTTAAGAGAACAGTAACAGATGCCATGGACACATCACAGCTAGAAGTTGAATCCATAAATATGATTTCAGAACTATTTTTCAGTTTTTGTGCTCTTTCATTTAATGGTGTTACAACAAGGACTACCCATGGATCTGTTTTATCCATTACAACATGTATGCCTATAAAAATTATAAATATTGACTAGAAAGTATAAACTACTAAGTTTGATGAATTATTAATTCATAAAATGCCTAGTATATAATATTACCTTACCTTAAGTATTATCTTATTTTTTTATTATTTGCACAACTCTAATGAATTAAATGAATTATACACCTAACATTATACTATAAAAAAAATATGTGTCTATCAGTCTTGTAATGAAAATGTTCAATATATTTGTATATATTCAAAGAAGTTTGGTACTTTTTAAACATGTGTGTAAATTAATATTTTTTTATATTAATAATAATATTATCTACAGATTGTATTAAAAATTCAACAGATTTGAAAAAAATATTGAGTAATAATCTCTTCAGGTACAATTTATAAAATATAAAAGTATACAAATCATTTATTTACTATTTTTTCATAGAAACTGACTAAAATATAATTTAAAAAAGAACCATATAATCTAAAAATAATATTTCCATGTGTTTAAATTCCTTATTTAAATGCCACATAAAATAAGATTAAACCTATTACACATTACATATTATAGTATATTATAA